CAAATAACAATTTGACGCTGGAGACCAAAGCTCACAGCGACGGCTAGGAGAGAAAAAAAAAAAAAAGTACAATACACAAGAGAGGCAGGGAAGGGAAATAAAGGATACGAAGGAACTTGAGTTATTTCCAGAAGTGAACATAATGTGATTAGATGCTGGCAACAGGAGAGGTGTGAAGCCTGACGGAGACGGTGGCACTACCTCCGTGGCAGGACATTAATCACCTCTGCACACAAATACAAACACTATAAGAACTTTGTTTACACTACACACAAATTACATTTATCTACTTTCTGTCAATCTGGTGACTCATTTTCAAACCATCTTCTGATTTACTAGGAAATTGAGCTTCTTTTCAATCAAAGAAATAAGGTGCATATCAATGAAATTATTTCATTTGATAATTAGGGAAATTCCTCATATACAAATTCATGACACTAATAAAAATCCTCAATAATTAGTTAAAATATTCGGGAGGATCATTTAAAAAAATATATGACCTTAATGAAAACTATGTCTATGTGCTATCCAAAGTGTGCACTTCAACCTTGCTTTGGCCTCCATTTGCTAGAATTACTGCATTGTGGTGTGATTAGTTTGGGTTTCTGCTGTGGTATTAAAGAAGTTTGATTTGCTTCAATATCCGCCTACATTTAGCATGTCTGAATTAATGGATCTCGTGTTTCATCGTCTTTTTTGACAGTACTCTCTTATCTAAATGTACATAAATGTAAACCATAACCATTTAATTACTTTTTGTAATGAATCTGGTTTATACTTAGTTAAATACACTAGTTCAATTTGATTGCATTGTAATTTCTTGAACACACCAACAGAAAAGGTGCCTTTTCAGTTCAGATTTGGCCCATCGTCAGATTAAGTCTAATCATGCATTCTCATGAGAATATCTGATTAACAAGTAAGGCAAAGCTACCATCCCACTAAAACCAGTCCTACACTCTATTTAATGGCTAATCAAAGACAGGACACTTGTCCATGTGTTCAGTAAACATTGGTCATTCTGCTGCAGTGCAGATGGGCCACGGGGAAGGGGAAAGATGACTCTGCCTGTCAGTACCCCCATCTCAAGCCCAGCAGGAGCTGCAGCCAATAATCGAAATCTCTGCCAGTGGTCATTGGGTTACAGAATGTGTTTGTGAAATGTGTATGTGTCCTGAATTAACAAAAAAGAAAGAAAAAGAAAAACTTTTCTTTTTTATATTAGGAATATAGAAAATTAAGTCAACATATGAATCCAAGTTGCAGATGTAGAATTCATAGGGTCTGTTTGTGTGGTAACCAAAGTTTCCCAGTGATGGAAATTGGTTTATGGAGGTGCTTTTATGTGAGTAGCAGGCAGCGGATCTGATTCTAAACATTAGCAGAGCTTTCAGGCTGTCATGAACCAATATCCCAGAGGCAGCTGTTGGATGTGGAGACCCCCCGTTTCCTCTCATGATGACAGTAAGCTGCTGGCTAGGCTCAGACCCCTGGTCAGCTTCGTTTCTCTGGGCTGATCGACTCTGCCTCAGCCTTTAAAAATTGAAAAGCCAGATTTGACACTTGGCTTTAATTCAGCTACTGAGATTAGCTGCTGTGTGTTTATGCATCTAAAGTGGGGAAAAAAAAACAACTGCCACAACTGTCACATTGCGGACTGCAAAAAAAAAAAAAATGCAATTACAGTAAATTAAAGATAGCCTGGCAGCATTTCAATTTAAGTCATAATCCCCAAGAGGCATAATGCGCATTAAATTTAGACAGCATAAAATGTGGAACGTGTAGAAGGCAGTCATTAAAATGGCAAAGTCACAAAAAACATCCATAGTTAAACTTTGTTGCACTATTCTGAATTTAAGATTAAGATGCTTAAACCCACAAACTGCCAGTGATAACATTAAAAAAATTAGAAACCATTAGACCAATTAACACTAAAACTTTAACTTTCACTCAGTGAAGCCGTTCTTCTGATGAAGTGGATGTACATTTACATTGGTTGTGATGCTAAATTACTCTACCTTCTACCTTCCACTCAAACTGTAACCCCACAGCATGATGCCCCCATTACTATGTTTGATTGAAGGATTATAAGCGTTTTAAGTTTCTCATACTGGTTAAGTTTTGATTGTAACTTTTTTTTCTTCTCTAATTCAGTTAGTTTTATTTTTAGAATAGGTTTGCTATTTTTGGAAATTACCATCATTCTAATATTTCTTTATTTTAGTTAAGTTTTCATCACTTTAAGTAGTAGTTTAAAATTTTCATACTTCTCTTAACTTTAACGTAAAGGGTTTAAAAAAGATCTTGTCAAAGTGGTATTGAATTTATGAAATCGTGCATACAGGCAATAAAAAACAAAATATAATTTTCAAAATCAGTTTAAATTACAACTTTAACAGAGTCACATCAGTTTGCAAGGCTTATAAAAAAAATTATAAACACAAAAATAAACGGTATGTTTATAGCTATCATTTTACTGTTTTAGTCACTTTAACAAATTTACAATACTGTATCAGATATCCTTTTTTCTTTCTATTTACATTTTTTTTTTTATTTTGGTCAGTAAAAATATTTTCTCCATTTCAGTTTTTGTTTTTTCATTAGATTTGTTTAACTATTATAACCCTAATCATTGTAAGTATGGATTTCCTTTTTAGTGATGTGCAGCACTTTTGAATGTGAGTCAGCATTTTTAGTCTAGATTCTTTAGATTATAATCTCCTGCAGAATTTTTAAACCACTGCGATCCAGACTGAGAGTTTTCTTTGGAGGAAAGGATTCTGTTTGCAACTCTTTTCTTAGTCTATACATGTAGAGAATAACAGTGTCTGCCGTACGTTAGACATGTGAAATCTTTTGGACAACCTTCATTTTTACCATGAGGTTCTTGACAGCCTTCCTGGTCAGTTTTTATTTCTGTCTTATTAGTTTGTGAAAAACTTTGCCCAGTTTCTCTCTTAAATTGTAGCTTTCTCTATGATATAACCTGAGATATTGATAAAGCTTTTGAATCTTTTAGTGCTTTTCTCCTGGCTGGTGCCTTCATTCCATGACATTTTGATCCTTTGGAAACTCTCTGGATGCTTTAGCTAAAGGCACATTTTTCAATGTAACAGAGCTCGGGAATAGAAAGAAAAGAAAAACCTAGCAGAACAACCGAACCTTATTTCAGGTCGATTATATTAAAGATGAAATCTGTAAGTTTTTAAAAATCACTTTTTTGTCATATTGGCTAAAACTGTCCCTATGCCCAGACAGCAGTACATGTGATTTGTGAAAAAAACTGCTTCAATTGGTCCCGCCTACTGCCTGTATTTCAATCTGGAAAGAATATTTCGGGACGAGACAAAACTGTCAATCACAGCTCACACACGCTGAATCCCGCCCCCTCCCTCTCACCACTGAACCTGCCGCTGCCGCCTGGCTCCTGCAGTCAGGAGGACGCGCGTGGAAGTCATGGCGGAGCGACAGCCACCAGCGAAAGAGAAACTGCCCTTACTGCCCCTGCCGACAACTGCTTACACGGCAAACTTCGGTATAACCAGCATCTTATATCTAGCTGCTTGGAGGTGAGTGTTATCGCTCTTAACGTTTCACACTCCATGCCGCGTACGCTGCTTGGACGCTTCTGGTCGCATGCGGTAGCCGCGCAGATGCTGTGAGAGGGGTGGAGCTTGGAGGTGGGGCATGAGTGAGGCATAGAGGGTGGGGGAGTGGCGTGAAACCTGTTTTTCTTCAAATTTTCAGTCGAAGTCTGCTCTCTTCTCAATGTTACAGACTGCAGCTTTAATGGGAATTACTCCGATTTTAAGAAAAATGACTGATATAAATGAACAACTCACACACTATTGACACCATTCATAGAGCTGTGCTGATAGGACATTTTTCTTCCAGTCTGTGTGGTGACATAACCATATTTAGCATATCCCCCGCCCCCTAAATTGGTTGAGTGAGAAAGTTAATATCTTACCTTAGTTAAATTTAATGTGACAAAAATGATTTTCATGTGCAATTGGGAAATTATGTTTATTTAAATTGCAATACATTGCGAATGAAATGATTGTCTGGACTGTCTTCTTCCTGTTAAACTGCCAACAACCGTTGACCTTATTTCAGTGTTTGGCCATTGCCATTTCTTAAATTGTCACAATTTGGTTCAGTTCTATGCAATTTTAAAATGTGACTTTTATCACAAATCTAAAGAAGATGAAGGAGTGGTTGATTAAAAGCAAAACTAGTAACAAAAACAATTACCTGGTAAAAATTTTAACTATCAAAAGATCAATCTGATACTCGTGCCTTAATTCATCTTTCCCAACTTCTGACTAAACAAACAAACAGAAGAGTTTGTGTTTGGTAATAATAACATATTTAAACGTGACTGCATTTGAAACTGGATCACATCAAAGACATTTGAGGAAACACCACAAATGTCAGCTGTTGGCTTGCCTCTGGTGATGATTAATGCTGTTTCTTATGTTTCTGAAGTGGGAGAGCAGAAATTGTATTTTTAATGGCCTCATAATGGAAAATCTTACAAGGGTGATATGGGACCAAAGGCCAGCTACTTTGAATGCAGCGTGCACGTTCAAAAGATGGATTGAGGAGGAAGAGGTGTTCATTTGTGAAGGTCGATCCGAGTGAGAGACCCAATCCATTTGGGAATGAGGTGAATGCACAATTCCTCACCACTATCCCGCCCAGCCATTCTGCTGGATTTCACGGTGGCCGCCCTTCACACAGAGAGTACATTTCATACATGGAACCATTGCCATGGATACCACACAAAGACATCTGTTGGTGAATGTTGCACTTAACTTTTCTGCTCTGTGTCCATGTTAAGGGTGAGCGTGGACGCACTTAAACTAACAAAAGGAGAAAACATAATGCTGCAGAACAAATCGCCTGCCAACGCAAGAGGCTCAACTGCTGAAAATGCGTCGTCGACTTGTGTGGGTTTGAGTGATCCGGACCCGTTTGTTTGAACCTCCTGCTCTTACCTGATGGATGATCTCAGATACCGGCAGCTGTTCCACGTACGAGTAGATCTCTTCACGCTGCTCTCCATTCGCAGGGCTATAAGAGAACAGAACTGTCAGCAATTACGCAGCAAAGATAGTCAATTTATAACAAACGCATAAGATTAAAAGAAAAAAAAGGTGTGAAAACAAAAAGGATTTCTGACAGTGGTCTGTGTGCAATCAAAAGAACTCCCCCACCCCACCCCTCTCACCAAACCCAAATCAACTTAATAATCCTTGTGCAATCAGAATACATCTACTACAGCAGCCATTTAGCCCTGGGAGCAACAATGAGAAATTATGAATCAAATCTGTAGAAAACAAAAGAAAAACATCTGTTTTGGATTTCAGCTACAAAACCCTTTAAGCAACATGCTGGATAACTTTTTAATGTGGCTTAAGACTGCTGAAAGAGTTCTAAGTCCTACTGAACCACCAAAGAGGTCCCAGAAAAAGGAATACTTAATCCAGCATCCAGGACGCTAGATGCATTGGAGCCAACTTCACAGGTAATACAGGCTTTAGAGTTTATTTAAGAGGCTGTTATAAACCAAATTTACTGATAAAAATGACACGACTTGATTAAAATTGCTGCCATGCAGGTAAAACTTCCAATTGTATCAATTAGGCAACGCATTTTTTGTCCACTTAACAGAAGAGCAACCTGGACATCTGAAATTAAATCAAATTAAAATGTCCACCGATGTAGTGGGAAAATTATCCAGCAATAGAGATTATTATAATCTGTATTTTATAAAGGGTACTTACATACCACTACAAGTGAAAACAGGAGGTGTGCCCCAAGTGCTCAACATCTTAGCCAAAAATTAAAAGTGCTAATCCAGAGTCCTTTGTCAGAGGACTGTACTGTTACTGTGTGGAAAAGGGAAGACTTCTACAGGTATGGGTGGATCTGTGCCCTAGACTCTCCCCCACGTTAAGCATTGTACCTCCACCTAAAGGGCTGGAGTGAGAAAATAACTGTCTTAGTTTTGTTAAATGAAATGTACCCAAATTTGAGTGCCTCTGTGATTAAAGAAATGGGTTTTGATAAATTGCAATTATATTTGAAATGCAAATAATTGCCAAGCCCTACACCAGGGGCACGGCTCTTAACCCCTAGTTGCTTCTCAGTCCGTGTAGCGTTGCATAAATGTGTATGAGCCAATAAGTGCAAATAGGTAAAGGTAGATCTAGTGGAAAGACTTTCAAGTGGGAAGCATGTATAAAAAAAAAAAATAATAAGAAAAATCACTTAATAGTTTCAATTTCCATCCTCTGAATGCCAGAAAAGCAATCATCATAATGACTTAGACCTTTATAAACTCAATCAGCAGCCTCTTCATTTGCTACATACACTTCTTAAATTGCTTGTTCACAAACAGAACATTTGCCAGTCACAAGCAAAGTGTGTGAGGCATTACGACATCGCTGTGAAGTCCAAACCAACTAAGCATGAGAATGGATAAGAAAGGTGGATTTTATCAACTAAACGTGGAATAGGAGTCTGGGCCCACTGGGCTGGCCTGAACATGTCAGAAACAGATAAAATACTGTCATTTCTATGCACAACCGTTAATCCAGTGGAAACACAACTGGTACCGGTAAAAGTCGTGTAGAGGAATATGCAATAGAGCTGTCAAGAGGGTTGGGGGAATATATTGATAGTTAGACAAAAGGGTTTTTTACGCTTGGCAGAGGATGATCAGCCACATATTTTATTAAGTAGCGAGAGCAGGAGCCATACTGCTGAGAGCGAACCATTAAAGTGGAGCATGAAGCGCAGGCTTGGAGCTCTGTGCGCGCAAAGACACATTAATACACAATCACAGATGGAAGATCAGAGCAAAGTTTGTCAGAGTTGAGCACGCAGAACTGGACCATTCCGGGAGCTGTTGCCATGATCCATCTGTGCTCCTGCACCATGTGCAACGCTGAGCTGCAGGTGGGCGGCAAGATCAAACAAAACACAGAAGCACGGCTGATATTGCTTTGCTGGTTACAGCACAATGATGCATTTTAAACGTCTGACCGACAATCTGACTAGTTATGTTTTCGTCATCTAAGATCCACGTTCAGCTCATCAGTTTTCGTTATCGTCATGGAAAAAAAAGGAGCGTCAACGAAATGATTTCATCATAGTCATCGTTGACAAAAACAACACTGCTTTAAGGAACCTTTGGCTTCCCGATTATTAATCGATTAATCAAAAAATAATAGAGAGATGAATGGATTTCCAAAATAATCATTAGTTGCAACCCTAAACTGAACTATAAAATAGAATAGAAGTCCCAGTTATTGTCCCACGGCGGGGAAATTCAAGTGAGAGAAGCAGATGAAAACATACAGGTACACTAAAGAATGAATTGTATGAGAAGAACACAATTCAGTGAGTTTTAATTCACAGAGAGAGAAACATGAGAGCAAATTGTATTCATAAAAAATGCATATTTAGATTAAATGGTTAAGTTAAAAAAAAAAGAGAAAAAAAACAGCAGGTTGTTTTTCAAATGCACATTTTAAACCATGAAGCAGATGGACGGAAGACCACACCAGATGTCACTGCTGATGGCTAAGAACAGGACACTGAGGCTACAATTAACTGCGACACCAAAGTTGGACAATAACAGATGGAAAACATGTGGATGAGTCTTCCCTTTAGCTGCTACATTCAGATTAAATAATAAAAACATTTAATTTAAATGAAAGCATGAATCCATTCTGCTATACTTAACAAATCAGGATGATTTGATATAATGTTTATTGGAACATTTTGGGGCTTACAGAGCAGTTAAAGACTTTTTTTTTTTTTTACACAAATATTACTGCTGACCATGTCTCCTCTATATAACTACAACGTTCCAGCGTTAAGGTTGCTACCTCTAGCAGGAAAAGCTCAAAGTCACAAAGGTCAGGTAGTTTCCTGTACTCTAAAGCTTGATATATGCTTGACGTGCGGACACTACTGTCTGCAGCTTTTATACTTTGTGCAGCTTTTCTACACGTCATTAATATTCAGGGGCCATTTTTTATCAAATTTCTTAAAATTAGTTACGAGACAACTCTTAAGATTGGACTTATTAGCAAAAAGATAATAAGACAAGTTAAAAGCTGGACTTCAAAGTTATTTATCAAGTGTCTCACTCACAATTCTAGCAAAGTGTAGGATGATAAAACAAAACCTACGCTACTAGAAAGCAAAGCCCTTCTTAACGAGTGTGTGCAGCCTCTCTAACCAGAACAGAATTTTTTTAATTATATATATTATGGGAACTACATTTTAAAGCAGAGAAAAATATAGCAACAAAAGGCTATTGGGTAGTTTATAGGCAGTGAGAGGTAATTCTAAGAGATCTGTGAAGTTGGCAAAATTTTTATTTTACATTTTTTTACTATATCCCTTTTGTGTCCACCTGAATTTTTTTTTTTCCTTTTTCTCAAGGAGAGTGATAAACTGCTCTTTCTGGCCCTCATTGTTCTTGCAAGGCTTAAAGAGCTTCACTATTTTATCCGTTTTCTGTCCTTGTGAACTTCTGGGTAAGTCTGTTTTTTTTAAATGTTTCATTGTTTATGCACAGGTCTGCTTCACCTGCTTTAAATGTGCTGTGCGACTGCAAACCTGACTGTGTTTGGCTGATTACATATTGAAAATACATTTATTTTTATCTATGTATTTTTAATAACTTTTCATAAGCTGTCCCCATCAAAAGTGGGAAATTGTTTCAATTTGTGTGACACAGAGGCGACAAAAAATCTGCACAGATCAGCTCAGCCTTTGAGTCCGAGCATCGCCATACACAGTCACTGGGATATGGGGGAAAGAAAAGGGATCGGAGAATAAAAAGTCGGACTGAACCGGTGTGCCCGGGGATTAAGACTTGAAAAAGTTGATAAACAGCTTTTATTCTTAAGTTTGAAAGTAGGAGTGAATTTTCTAAATTCTAAGCATTTAGGAGCAAAAAAAAAAAAAACAACATAGATAATAATAAAGATAATGATAGATATGACCCCTGGTCAGATCCAAGGGGAGGGTAAAGCACAAACCTTAAGCTTATGGATTCTCACTGAATGAGGAAGTAAAAAAATCAAAAAACATCCACGATATTTTCGGAGCGGAGCCGTCTGCAAACGTGCACATTTTCCTACATTCAAAAAAAAACAACAAAAAAAAAAACCTCAGATCTTATTACGTTTTAGAGCTCTTTAGCTCATAAACATGGATTTCAAAAGTTTCCATAGCTGCCATAAATTGTCGTGGCAGTGCCACAGTGTTTGGCGCAAAGTAAATTTTTATACATTCCAAAAAAAAAAGATTTCCGTTAAACATTGCTCTGCATGTTTCATTTGTACAAAAACTTTAACATGAGGCCCCACGTCTTAATCCAACATAGCACATTTGGGGTGTGAAGGAACCGGGGATTCATCTAATTGCTGTGCAACAAATTAACCAAAACAAGGGTGCTATCCTTTAATAAAAAACAAAATCTAGGAGTTTAATGATTGACAAATTATTTTTAAAAAAAGTCATGAAGAATTAAGGCCATTGTTAATGCAACAGGGGGTCCAACCCACCTAGCATTGAGTGAACCGATTACAGCGAGGGAGGATCTATTTATGAAATAAAGGAAGTCTTTATAAAAGGTTGCTTAATGAGTACAAGACCAAATTAAGATTTCATTCTACAGCTCCAACAATGACTCATTACCTATTCAAGTACCTTTTACAGTGTCATTTATTTATATATCAGCAGTAGAATTTAGGACAAAAGGTGTGTGGGACACAAAAGACAGAAACCGACTAATTTCAGGCTGCTTTAGTGGACTCAACAGCTAGTTTTCTGTCCTTTTGAAAGACCCCTTGTCTTGTTTTAGGACCAAATCTAAACGTTTTACTTTGAACAAAGATTATAGCTTAGTGACTTATGATATCCTATTCTATTTCTTTATTTTTATGAGTCACAATAGGCTAAGGTTGCTGTAGGATATACTGGCTATTTTTCCTCACTTTGCAATTTCTCTACTCAACCGCCGTTTATACATCATTTATAGTTATAGC